TTTTTTTCAAAATACAAGTATTTTCTTTCTCATTGAAAGAAGTGATTAATGCCTTTTAAAGTATCATGGCACAACTTTGCCAAACAAAAATCAGAGCTTTTCAGAAAAGAGGTGAAAATTTGGGCTCTAAATCATCTTAGCTTGGCCCAGGTCATTGAAAGATTAAGTCCCTTTTTCAGTATCTCAGGAATGAGCTTTTCTTCTCTGCCTGGTCCTCATTTTGTTTGTACAATTCAAGCTGAATTTTCAAATTTGAACTGCATGATCTATTGGAGCAGCAGTTTTAAACTTACTATGGCTTTACAATACTTTCATAAGCCACCAAGAAAACAGAATTTTCTTGCCATTTTGCCAAACCTGCCTTCTAAAAAAAATATATATCTTTGGTTTAATACAAAATAATGACATGACAGCACATAAATAGCAGAGGGGACACCTTCCACCATCCCAGGGTGTCCAATCCCAATCCAGCCTGGCCTTGGACACTTCTAGGGATCCAGGGCAGCCACAGCTGCTCTGGGAATCTGTGCCAGGCCCCCCCCCCCCCCCCAGGGAACAATTCCTTCCCCAAATCCCATCTCAACCCATTTTCTCTCATTTTTTGAAGCCATCCCTCATTGTTTTATCACCACAGTCCCTCTTCAGCTTCCAGTGCTGCTCTGAGGTTTCCACACAACCTCCTCTTCCCCAGACTGGGCATCCCCAACTCCCTGAGCCTGGAAGGGTCACCAGCCATGGATCATCCCATGGAATCACCTGTGGGAAATAGCAAAGGAAAGGAGGTTTCTAGACAGCTGTAAAAGCAGGCCTCAGGAGCAGAAAGAACAGAAAACTTAGAACTAGCTGCAAAGTCTGAAAGTAAAAAAGTTACAAAAACACAGAAAGCAAGGACATGAACCTTGCTTTCTGTATTATTTTAACTTTTCTACTTTCAGACTTTGAAAGTTTTAGGCTTGGTTGAGACAGACCTTAAGACAGCAGAAAAATATGCTCAGCAAGATGGGAGAAGGTTTTAAGCTTAATAATGGAGCATTGTGTATTTCTAACAGAGAGCAAACAAGCATTGTGTGCAGCAGGTGTTTGTGTGCTTTTAGTGGTTGGCTGGAACAAATGTCTGTGAGCTTTAGCAACGTGCCATTGGCTAGAAAGTTTTTTTAAATGCTCTGGAACAAAGAAATCTTTACCTGCTGCTGGCAGGACGTGAGCTTTGCCATCTTCCTGTGGTCTCAGCCCTGCAATGAGGCTGATCCTGCAATGAGGCTCCAAGAACACATCCCAGCAGTCCTGTCCTGTCAGTGAAAACCCCAACACGCCACCCTGGGAGAATGGGGAAGGAATCCTCCTGTGGAATGGGAATCTGAAATCAGCCCTGGGAGGAAGGGCTGCCTGGGCTGGGTTCAAGGGAAGGTGGAGCAAGAGGAAAGAACTCCTACTGTATATTTTACAGCAGCTTGGAAATAAGTAGCTGCTGTACAATATACAATAGAAGTTCTTAAAATGACTTTAGGATACTTTAAATATCCTGTTGGCTCATCCATTAAAATAACATAATTGATTGAGCCTGTTCCAATGAACTATGAACTTGAAGCATTTTTACTTCTGGCTACAGCTCCTTCCTTCAGCATAAAAAATGACAGATCTGGGATTTCTATTTTTAACCAGAATTTTAACTTTAAAATGGCAAAAATACAAGCGCTGAAAAGAGGTTTTCTGCTTCCATCCTACTCACTCTCCATGGGTTAATTCTTCATTAGTATCAGTGCTAAAGGGGAAATCAGCAGCACAAGGAGGATAGAAATATTAATGTCTCCATTTGGGAGCATTTAAACATGATTTCTTTTAAGTGCTGTTGCTCTAAAGGGTCACTTAAATGCATGTATTTACATATATAATAGAGATAATATTTTGGCATAGATTTCTGTGGCATTAATGTACAATATTTTTGCTGCCCTATAGAGTTGTGGTTCAAACAGAGAGTGGGAAGTTAAATGTTGGCAAAAGCTGTGGCAGCAGCTTTATTTAGTGTGTGATGCAGTCAGATGTTCCTACAGGGCAGCCTCTGAGCCTTGGGCAGGCAGGAATATAGATCTGATCCTGGATATGCACTTACTAATGGGATAAGCTGGAACTTAATTACCTGCTTGTACTTTCAATTATCTGACTGAGCATGTGAGAGTAGGATTTTATGCACCCAGGACCTCAGGGAGCCCTGGGAAGGATGCAAACACACATTCACATATATTGCTCTGGCCAATTTCTCCTTCTAGTTCCCAAAAATCGAATCATTTCAACAAGAACAACAACAAAAAGCATTTAATACTTCTTCCAATTTTCCTGGCTCGTATTTTACAGGATGATTTTGGGACTGAGGCACTAAACTGAGGGGAAAATTAGTTCAGTTCAGCTCTTGGTTTTGCTCCAGATTGCTCGTGTCACATCAGGGAAGTCATTTAACCTCATGGTACCTCAGGTCCCATCTGTGCTGTGGGAGAGACACGAAAAAACCTGACGAGAGTGTCAGACACAACAGCAATCTGGCCTGGAGAAATACCCACGCTGAAAAGAGCTTTGCATCCTCCTCTCTTGATAATTCACAGGTGGCTACTTCATCACCTTAGCTCTGAAGGATAATTCACATCAGCACGAGGAGGAATTAAACATCAGTACCTTCATTCTGAAGTATTTTATACACAGTGCTCTGCAATGCTCTTGGTCTAAAAAGCCACAAAAATGCAAACCAGTGGGGAAGAAATCCTTTCCTTTTAACTAATTAAATAGAAATTCTTAATTCCTAGCCCTTCTAAGGGCCATTTTCTTCTTAAATCCACTGGTTTTAGCTTTAAGACCTGGTGAAAGATGCAAAGTAAATAGCTAATAGCATGTCTGGGCTGCATTCTCTGCTGGGATCGCTCAGGAGAGCACGGGGCTTTCTGAGGGAGTTTTTAACTTGCAGGCCACGCTGGAAATCCTCCATGCCTGGTTTTGTGGAGTGGTTCATTGTTGCAGTAAGGTAGAAAAATTATATAAAAGTATAACAGAAAGACCTCATAAAATCAGGCCTGTTCTGTTAGATCAGTGGCTGGCCTGTCAAGGTAGCACTTTGCAAGTTCCCATGTGAAAGCAATCCCGGTGTGAACAGTTTGTTAACACAACAATCTATTCCTGGGTAAAAATAACAACTAGCACTTACATAAACATTACATCTATCAGTGAAGAAAATAGGTAAACTATTTAAGAGTAGAGAGATTTGATGGACAAGTAAAATACCTTTTACTAACCAATAAAGTGATTGGCAAAAAAGCTGCTAACCAATTGGAGCCACACACGAGGTCTGTAAAACTGTACAAAAATAAGTTATGTGAATAAAGAAGAGGCTTTTTCCACCATGAAGAAAATGGAATCTCATGTGGTTCATTCATAGTTCATCTTCCCTGATACCCCAACAGTGCCTTGGCCTGTCCATCACCTGATCCAACTCAATAATGCAGGGGTGCATTAATTAGAGGTGTGATGGGTGAATCTGCCCTGCACTGAAACAGGGACAACTAAAGGGACTGTACAGACCTGCTTACTGGCTGGAGGTCACAGGCTGCCTGCTGTCCATGGCCACCCAGCTGCCCCCATGCTGGAATTGTAAAGGTTGGAAAACATCTCTGAGGCCATCAAGCCCAAGCATCAACCCAGCGCTGCCACAGAACCAGGGCCCCACGTGCCACAGCCAGCCTTTGGGGCACTTCAGGGATGGCAACCACTGCCCTGGCAGCTGTGCCAGTGCCTGATCATCTTTTTAAGGGGAGAAATTTTCCCTAAAATCCACCCTGAGCCTGCCCTGACCCAGCCTGAGGCCGTTCCCTCTCCTCCTGTCCCTGTTCCCTGGGATAAGATCCCAAATCGCCCCAGCTCTCCCCTCCTGTCAGGAGCTGTACAGAGGCAGAAGTTCCCCCTGATCCCCCTTTTGTCCAAGCTGAGCCCCTTCCCAGCTCCTGCAGGATTCTCCAGCCCCTTTCCCTGCTCCATCCCCTCATGGGGAAGCCCAAAATCCAGTGCCCACCTTTTGGCCATTAAGTGGTGAAATTCATCTTGGCAGTGCCCAGGGCCAGGTGAAGAAGAGCCACAGATGTCTCCAACCCTGACAAGGAAACACCAACCCCCAGCTGGGCCCTGATGAAAACAGGACAGATTCCTATTGATGGAGCAGATTCATCCATGGGGCTCCTCTTCGTGGTGGGAGCTTCTGATGAAATGAGGAATGAGGATGGACAGGACACAGCCTTGGGAGGCTCAGGCTGCCTGTCCTATCCCTCCCAGATGCTGCTTGGAAAGAATGGATGGGCCCAAATGTGAAAGACAAGAGGCAAGCAAGGAAAAAAATGTGGGGACTGGGAGTCTGGGGGTGGTTTTCAACCCAGAAGCCAAAGATATGTCAAAATAGGCCTGGGAAAAGAAGTGAAAATGCAGATTTTTCTCACTGGTGATGGAGCCAGAGCTCCTTCTGCAGAAGCCACGGGGAGACTCGGGGTGGTGCTTCCAGAGCTGCAGCCTGGATTCAAATGAAAGCCCCAACATCAGCATCAAAAACAGCCTAACAAATACCTGCCTCAAACTAGGAGATGTAATGAGGCATCCTTTGTAACACACACAGAGCCCTGCAGGAACTTGTGTTTCTGGAGTTCTGTAAGAATGTTGTGATTTAAATTTTATACATTGCTTGGGTTTTTTGCATTTATCTCTGAATGCAAACAGCAGCGCCTTGGACTTTGTTCCTGTCTTCATACAAAATGCACATTGGATTTCTGCTTCTAATGAATTATTCTAATTAAAGCCATTGTTTTTATTTGTTAGCCTGGGTTGCTGTCACTTCTTTGGGTTTTGGCTCTGTTGAAATAACAAAAAATCCTTGAGCTGATCCAATTTATCGTTCTTAAAATTTAATCACAGTTACTCAGAACTTACAACAACAACTAACAAGAGAGAAACTTTCCCCATATTCCAGCCTGCACAAATATTTTGCCTTGATGTCACCAGAAGATTTTTCAAGAGCAGAGCCATCTTAAGCGGGAATATCTGAATTTTAAGAGGATTTTTCCTGTAGAAAAGTCACGCTGAAATACTGAGGGATGAATATTGTGAAGAAGGAAAAGGAGTGGTAGGGAGAGATTGGAGCAGGGATGGAGTGGTGGAAAAGGAGATGGGAGAGAGCAGCCAGCACTGAAATTTTGGAGAGCAGGAGAGAAGAGGCTGCAGGATTTGCTGGCACAACCTGACCAAAAGAAATGTTTGTGATTTAAACAGAGGAGCGGAGATAATTTATTGTTATTGTTATATTTAATAAGTGCACTGTGGAAGGAGCCAGAGGAAAGAGGAATGGAGACAGCTGGAGGGCTGATTTACAGTGACATTTGAGGACGAGAGAATACTGAGAAAACTGCAATTCTGTTGGGGGGGAGAAAAGGAAAGACAGAAGGAGAAAGTGAAGAAAATCAGATTTGAAGGCTGTGATCAAGAATTCCTGTACCTTGTAACTAAAGCAGAGGAGACTCATGACCTCAAGTACCTGCTCTGTAGTAAACTAGAGAGAATTATCTTTGCTATTCATGAGTTTTAAAAGATAACATAGAACAAATTAACAATTTAACTCTGGATTCAACAACTCCTTAAATGCATTGCATGTACAATCTAAATCTCCATACAGGCACCTTTTTTTATCCTCTCTAAGCAAAACTCAGATTTCTCTTGTGGCACTTTTCCTCTTTTTTATATTTTCTATGCCAAACACAGAGTTCTAGAACAAAAAATTATATTTATCATTGCAATCCCATTGCAATCCCAAACTTCTGTGCTATTTTAACCTATATTTAAGTTTTTTCCACTAAGGCTATGAGGTTTTCATATTTTACATTAAATATTTCATATTTTAGGCTGCTACTGGTGTTTTCCTGATCACTAATAAAAATATGTACCCAAAAGACAATTACATGCAGTAAAGAAGGAATGCAATTACATCTAACAATGGCAAAAAATGGATTTTTTTAATGGATCTCTACCACCTTGGATATTTTAGTCAGAATTCACCTTGTTAACTGCAAATACAAAGGTTGGGCTTAATGATCTTGAAAGTCTTTTCCAGCCTTAATGATTCTCTGATTCTGAAGACATGTGGTCAGCTGTGACTCAAATCCTCATTCTTCAGCCCACAAATTCCAAATTAATCTCTAGGGGTTTTCTTCTGATAGTTTTACCTTCCCTGGACCCTAAAAGGGAGAAAAAAAAATCACTTCTATAATATCACTGACACAACTACTGCAATATATTCCCCCAGAGAGATAAATGTTTCTTATCTTCAGTAATGATATGGAAAAAGAAAAAGAAAGAAAAAAAAAAGAAAAAGAAGAAGAAGAAAAATCAGCGAATTTTGCCCAAATGAAATTAGGAAATCAAATACAGCACATAGAGACATTAGAGATGTGGATGAGAATGAACTCAAATGCTTCAAAATAACATAGCGTTGGAAAAAAAAAATGATTGGAAGCACTGTAATGGGAAGAAGGGAATGTAAATGTGGATGTGCTGGAGCGATGAGCACTGACTGATGGAATATTCTGAGCTGGGGCAGCAAACACCAGGCTCTGCCAGCAAAAGGGCACCAGGCTCAGCTAAATGAGCCAAAACCCAAAAGGCTGGGCCACAGAAATCAAGTTTTCAGTTGATTCCCAGAGTTGTGTGATGGGTTCTGCACGCAGAGCTCGTGACAGCAGTAAAAAATGAGGATAAACATCATTTTGCTTGGAAACATTTACAGCAACACTGAGGAATTCAGGATTCCTTTTATTAGCACAGGGTAATAAAGGATGGCACTGAGTGGGGATTTATGCTCTGCATCTTTTAAGACAAGCACTGCTTAGGGTACAAACTGTTCCTTGGTAAAAATCGGGCGACCACAGAGTATCCAAACTTTTTTTTGGGTCTACACATGGTTGGTCAGCTCCTTAAAACAAAGAATTATTAATATTAAAGCACTCTAATGTTTAGAATTTGCTCCCACCTGAGTGCTTCTTTTCCTCAGCCTCCTTTGAACCATCTCAGCCACGAGATTTGTCTCACACTTGGAAGCTTCTGCAAAAAAATTGCTTTTTGTTTCATCTTAAGGAGTTGCTGGGGCTGCCACAAATTGGTGTTGTGCTAATATTTGATTTATGGGATGGGAAATATTTCAGGAGACACAAGAAGCAAGTTGTTGGTAGAAATTCAACGTTGTGGGTTTGAAGCACTGATGATTTGTGTTATTTGGAGGAACATCACTTTGATTCCTCTCCAAACAAGCTGGCAGCAGTGATTATTCAGCACAGCAGTGAAAATAGATATTTACTGACACAGAACTAGATATGTTCATTAGAAAAGTAATCTAACAGAATGATATTTTTGCAGTCTGAGGGTTGGAGATGGAAAATTAATTAAGGGCAGCATCAGTCATTGCTTCGCTAGCAAGGAGATCAAGACATTGGGAGAGGGTTAAAGAAACAAAAAAACTTGGTAAATATGAGTGAAAATCAAAGTTTAAATCTCCTGGAGAACCATCAGGATCTGCCAGGCTTGACAGAAGGGCCATGGAATTGCAAAAGGGAAAAATGGAAATATGAAATGAGACAAATCCTGCCCCACCTCTCTCTGAGCTCCCACATTTACTCATTTACAGATCTGTCCTCTCCTCGTTTGTCACTAAATTTTATTGCAGTGCAAATGTAACTAGTAAAAATCAGATGTGTTCTGGTTTATGGGTCAGAAATTTCCCTCAGAGCTCAGAAGAACCTTCAACATGACCCCGAATGCTGCATGGTGATGATTTTAGCCACGGTTCAATAAGCAAGACTAAATTTAAGATGTTTTATGAGGGTTTTTTTTAATAAACAGATCCTAACTGCAACAACACGAAATTCACAAAACTCATTAAAATGACAACTTCAAAGAGCAGCGTTTGACTCTCAGTGAATTAAGCCTTCAAGTGCTGGAATTTGATATGTAAGCAACTCCTAAAATTTTGGGCTAGGCTAAAGTTTAAAATTAAACATAAGATTTGATTTAAGAGTGTAGGAAAGGTTTCTAAACTTAAGTGTTAGAAGTGAGAATGTGGATTTATAGTTTAAAGTAGAGGCATGTTAAATAAGGTAAAAGAAAGTTTAGAGTTTTAGAGTTTAAGATATGAAAAAATAAAAGTAGTTATAAAAGTAAATAAGAAATTTGGAATATAGTACTGTAAGTTTGTGTGTCATAACATGATTAACTAAGAAAGCTTACACTGTAACATAAGTCTGTAAGAAAAAATATTTAAAGATTAGGTTAAAAACATAAATATTTTTGTTAGCAGTATTTTATTAGTCAATACTCCTTCAAAGGTCATGTAACTAAGGGTTTTGTGACTTTCTAAACTGTGCTATAAAGATGTGAGCTGAACTCACCCTTCTCACTTATGTAGAAGATAAGAAAAATAAACTACTTCATGAAAAACGATTCATAAGTCCCATCTCAAATACCTTCAAATTCCCTCACATTGAAGGAGGCCAAAACCCGAGCAGGAGCCTCAGCAAACAATGAAATGCTTCTTCCCCCACCGGCTGGGTTCAGATTATTAAATACCTTAAAAGTAAAAAAATTCTATTTTAATTTCATTTCTGACAGCACTGTTCCCAACTGAGGGGGCCACATCCTTTCCAAAGCACCAGCAGGAATTTGGGATAACACTGGGAATGCACATGGAAACAGCTCATGAGAAAAAAAATATTAATAACTAAAATTTAGGTTTAGGGGATCCAAAATTTGAAAGATAACTCAGCAAGTCACCATTACTCACTGTTAATTACCATAAAACACTGATTCAGGAGAAATCTTGAGATAAATATTATGATTATAAGCACTTTTCAAGATTCATAGCACAGCATATCTCTGCATTTCGTGTATCTCATTAATAATAAAAAAATATTTTGGTGAGGCTCAGCTATTTATTTCAAGGGCTCTCCTTATGTTTTTTTAAATGTTTAATAAATATGCTAAAAAATAAATTTAAAATGAACTAAAAAAAGAAGAGAATAGTGAGTTGGTTTTTGCATGAACACAGAATCTGAAGAGTCACAAGGACATTGGGAAACAGTTATAAAAATGAACATTTTTCAACATATGCAGGAGGACATAACAATAACAGGGATTAAGAGAACAATGCAATAAAAACCTGTCTCTGATTAAATGTTTCATGTTAAAAATTCATATTTTAAAGTGTATTCTTTATCAAACCTGAAGATCTCTCACCTAATCTTCAAAACATCAACACAGACAAAGACGAAAGAAGAGATTAAAATAATATTTAGTATTATATAGGTTTAGTGTTTGGTCAGATAAAATATAAATATAAAATCAAAATATTTGGCTCCAGGAAAGGGTATGAGGGACTATGAACAGCTTAAATAAAGGCCTAGAAAAATCAGAGCAAATGCCTAAAAAATGGCATCTGAGGAAGTGAAAATTTAGGGAGGAAAATGAGCAAAAAGGAAAATGAGGGAAAAAGGTACAGGAAAGCATGCAAGGAAAAGGACTGGGAAAAAGGCAGGGGAAAATGCAGCTTCAAAGATTTATGCAAATGCAGCATAAATCTTTGAATTATTGGAGTCATCAACATAAAAGCTGAAGGAACAAACAAGGTGGGGAAAATCCTGGAAGGTGGAAATTTACCTCTTGAAAGCCTGTTGGTTTTATGGCTTTATCTGATAACGAAACTTAATCCATGAAAAATTGACAGTGGTAACCTTTTAATATATTCCTATAAGGATTTCACCATTAATTTCCGAGTATTTCCAATTAGAAGTTGGATTAATTTTTAATCACAGCTTAGTGCAATTTCATATTCCAGCAGCAGCTCTTTCCTTCTTTCTGCTGAGCAGCTCCCGGTGAAATCCCCACAGCTGCAAAGCCAACCTGGGCTTGGTTTTCTTGGTAATGGGAATATTTTCTGAGCAGTCTGATTTTAAGTGAATGGATGAATGAATTTTAAGGAAAAGATGGAGGAGTCTCCTTTGCACTGCCCCAACTTTGACTAAAGTCAAAAGGCAAGACCAACACCAAGACCAATGGCACCACCACCCTGGTGATGCCTTGTGCAGGCTGCCCTAGAGATTAGACAGAGTTAAAGAATAAAGCAGGGATTGATTGAAAGGATCTGCTCCATGGATGCACTTTGGGCAGCACCAGAGCCCAGCCAGGGCTGCACCCAAGATGAACCCAAATGGCCCCAAAATGCACGAGCGCTGCCGGGGTCTCTCCCTGGGCTCAGCTCTGCTCCATGTGCACATTGCAGTTCAGTGTCCAGTTCCAGCTGCAGCCCCTGCAGTCCCACCCTGCTTGTTTTTCTCTCTGCAGCCCACGGGCTTTGTGCTCCTGGGCTGAGATTGGGATCATTTGTCCTTGGTGCCCAGCTGGAGCAGGAATTGTTTTGTCTCCCTGCTCTGTGCACAGAGCTCCCCATGCCCTGACGTGAAGCTCAGAACTGCACACTAAAGCAGCACAGAACCTGAAACATAGAAAAGCTACAATTTAAGGCATTACTGGCACTCAGGAGAGGAGCCCCAAGGACAGACCTCACTCAGGGGTGCTTCACCCCTGCCCAACTGACCCACAGCCTCCACTCCTGTGTGATCTGAAAAACCAGATCTGCAGAGCATGAATCCAGCAGGATAATCTCTGCATAAACAGGAATTTACATACAAAATTAGAGCCCTGTGTGTTCAGATAAATCAGATCTTCAGAGCATGAATCCAGCAGGATAATCTCTGCATAAACAGGAATTTACATACAAAATTAGAGCTGTTGCCACAAACATCTGGAGTTTCAGGCCTCTGCTGCCTGTCTTCCCAGTCAAAGCTGAAAGATTAAATCCACTTTGCAGATAAGGATCAAAGCTGAACTTCAGTCTTGTCAGCCAGGAAGGACAATCCCAAGGTCCTGCAGGGTTACTTTGCAGTGCTAAAACCCCCCCTGCACTTGGAAACAGCTGGGCACAGCTTGGGAAATGGTTAAAAAAAACCACATGCTTTCCTAAAAATTGGGAATGAATCAGGCACCAAGGATGCCACAGCTCAAGGAACATTTGGATAAAGCTCTCAGGGTGGGGTTGTTGGGGTGTCTGTGCAGGGCCTGGAGTTGCCCTCCATGGTCCTTGTGGGTCCCTTGCAGCTCAGGATATTCCTTAATCCCCTGATCTGAGATGCAGGATATTATAAATGCACAGCTCCATGCACATCCCACAGCAAGCTGGCGTGGAGAGCCAGAATATATATTTAGTCTTTATCTTGTGGAGTGACTTTTAATGACATTTTCAAGTGCTAAGGCACTTGGAGGCTCAGATTCTTTATTGGTCCCAATGTTTCCCTGCAAGCAGTTGCTCAGATATTAAACATCCCCTCTGCCAGGGCTCACAAAACAAACACTGAGCCCCCTTGATATGAGGCAAATGTTTGATGTAATTCTGTTTCAATTAGTTTGTTCTTGGCACTTTTACACGTTTATCTACATCCAAACCTTCACACTGCAGCAATTACTGACTTCATCTTCTAATTAATAAGTGCTGAGTCTTGAGGAACTGGTTCAGTTTCTGTCCTACCTCTGCTCTGGGAGAGCTGGGATGTTTACCTGGGGAAGAGAAGGTTCCAAGGAGACTTTAGAGCCCCTTCCAGTGCTTAAAAGGGCTCTGAGAGAGCTGGAGAGGGACTTAGGAAAAGGGCCTGGAATGTGCTTTCAGCTTCCCTACCAAGGCAAAGGCTTAAGAACCCAAAGTTCTTCATCCCCTCAGGTTCAGCAATAAAAAGAGAGTTGGTGTTTTACTGTCAAATCTCCAAAAGCCACAGTAAGTGCTTCTACTTCAAAAATAAAGCCTTAAATGACTTCCCAGAGCATTTTTTCTTACAGAAAATGTTTGTCTTAGCCCATCTCCCCGAGAAACCAATAAACCCTCCCAAATCAACACTGTCCTTCACTGGCAAGATCCAAGCTGCAGCTCTCAGCTCATCTCCTCCACGCTCCTCTCAACAGCACTGCCCCCAGCCAGGGATGGGATCATTTCAGTGTTTGCCCATCACTTTCTTCTCTAAAGAACGTCAAGGTTTGAGGAAATGGAGGCATTTTTCAAAGGACAAAGTGCTCATCCTGCTGTGGTGTGAAGATTTCTCTCCACCACTGCCACCCTTGGTGGCTTTGCTACTGAGAGGACTTTGGTGTTTTGCTTAGCAATGAGCCAAATCAAAAAAAAAGTGACAGCAGCGCCTTCTTCCAGCAGGGGAAGCTTCACATGGACATTTCTACTACTCTATTCTTCAAGATGTGATTCTATTCCTGAAAGAGCTGATAAATTCCCAGCTAACTGAATATCTCATCTGCCCATAAAGTCAGCTTTTAATATCAAGGAAGTTCAGTATTTGTCCTGAATAGTGCAGCCTATACACAGAACCTGGAAAGGTTTGAGTCTGGTGCGTGGGGAAGCCACTTATTTTCCCCTTGCAAGCTGATTTATATTATAATTCAAAATGCAAACACAATAATTCCAGCACTGTTTCTTCCAGAGGAAATACAGATAACACGATAATGCAGGGAGGATTCATTTCCTACAAGCTGCCTTTGTGTTGTTTATTGAGCAAAATAAACATGAGGGATGTGTGATAATCAAACATCTTCCTGTGGCAAGATAACTGATAGTGACGGGGGTTTTGCTTTAGTTTTAAAACAAGGATTATAAGAAAAAACAGGACATACCCAACAATACCCAGCTTGGAATTGTTCCTTAATTTGGCAGCACAGAAGTTTCCCCAGCAGTTTTGCAGGGCAGGCTGTGCCCAGGTGCCTCTGAGGAGAGATTAAATCAGCGTTTCTCAATTTGGGGATGCTCAGAGCTGTGGCTGATAATTTACCTTTCATTGTTATTCATGCCAGACACTCTCTCCCTCTGCCTATCAACAGTTAATGTGTTTAGACAATTAATTAGCCATTAGTAAAGTCCCTACTGTAACCAGCCTGTGTCCCCAGGCACTTCCTACTGGAAAGTCACAATTTAAAATGGGATTTGCTGAGCTCTGCGGGTTCCAAACATGTGGAACCAGAGGGCTCTCGATATGAAGACAATCAGTTTGCTAAAACACTTCCTATCTCCCTTTAAATTTTCACCTTCTGCCCCAGCTGCAGAATTCCCTCATTCCAAAAGACTTTGTAAAATAAAGGACATTTTCCTGTGTCTTCATATGACCCCAGCAAGGAAACATCCTATTAAAAATTCCCTGGAAAGGCAAATAGTCCAAACACTCCTACTAACCCTAAAAAAAAATAAAATAAAAATTACCCAATGTTTCCAAACTCTGAAGTGACGGAGATCATCAGTGCTTTGCTGGAAAAACAGCAAATATTTGCAGGCCAGGATTTTCCTGCAAGCCCATAATGACTAAATTGTGATGGATAATCTCAATTTGGGAGCAGAGCTGCCACACCTCCCATGGCAACCAGAGACACCTTCTCAGGCCTTCCCACTTGTGCCCTGATTGCTGGGAAAATGATGGAACTGCATGGAAAGGATTCCTAAGAGTCTGGTATTCCAGTGGAATTTGGAG